TCAACTGAAGCTATTGAATGTATTATTATTATTTTTTAAACAAAATTCAATAGCATGGGAGTCCACTTAAGATCTTTGATAGACAGAAAGAGAGAGAGAGAGAGAGAGAGAGACCTTGAATATCCAGTAGCTTTGAAAATGGCTGTACGTCTTGTAGTTTATGGCAGTATTTCGTTTAGTTCTTAAACACATCAGAACATGGTTCCTTAAAGAAGAGCGAAGCTGAAAAAAAGGTCTGCACACATTTCTGTTCATACAAGCAGAACAGGGAAGATAGAGGTAATAAAGTAACTGTCAAAGCTGAACCTCAATTTTACTTGGTTGTAAATGAAAATCCCTGTGGCAACCCTACGTGAGAAAGTACGTGGCTTTTCAACAACAACAAAAAAAGCTGAAAACAGCGATGTAGGGCATGTTTGTACTGCATGATGCAAGTCATCTTGATACCTACGCCATGCCGAAATGATTGATGTGTCAGACTGACCTAGTGATGTGCCAGTTAGAGATAAAAGCTTTGCTCTCAGAAGAAATATAGCCACGTTAGATATCTCTGTACAACATCGCATTGTCCAATGCAGTTATGTCTTTACTCTCCAGTACTCTAGTCTCCCTGTTTTGCATAGGCTTCTCAGCTTATTTGGGTGCTTCTGGACAAGGCTGCTGAGCAGCGTGGGGAATGGAGACAGGTCTGCCCCATGGAGCTGAGAAGCTGTGGTGATGGGTTGGTGCTGGATTACAGCCCGTCTCACCCGGCCCTTCCTCGTCGAGCCTGTTCACCTCACTTTTGTTCTCTTGTTCTCTTGTCCTTGTGGAAGTGAGAGGAGCAGCAGATGGTTACCTTGTTGTTCCTAGGAAACTCGAAGCATGAATAAATGATATGTTCCTCCTTAAGGAGAGAAGCTAATGACCAGGAGGCAGCCATGGTACAGAGGTGAGAATAGAAAAATATTTCTCTAAGATTAATGAGCACAGGCCACAGTTAGTGCGGGTAACATGCGATTCTTCTCTTCCCCACAGAGTAACCTTCCTCCACTGCTAAAAGCTCTGAGACTTGTGACTTTCTTCTTTATATTGCTCCAACTGCTAGCGCTTCCCTAGTGCCAAGGGAGAGGAAAAATGACTCAAATTTGGATCCTTATTTGCAGGTCAGTGCTGTGCCTTGGCAAAGAAACTTATGCTGGTCTGGCACAGTGTAAAATCTGGCCAGGCCCCCCAAGGTCAGTGAAGTTAAAGTAACGTGAAAATGTTAGTGAGACTGGGTGTGTAAATTAATGAGACGAGAGGAGGAGACTTCTGTCTTTTTCTCCTCACTTAAATTTTGCTGTCAACATGCCTTTTCTCATAAGTGGCTACAGGCTGAGGCAAGCAGCACTGTCCTGTGTACTTGGTTAAAAGTTTTAAGGTGTTTTTCACGACCCTTAACAGTTAGAAATGTATTCTTTGTGAAGACTTCAATTCTGGCATGTAATTCCGTTGCAAGGCCTGGGTTCCACAGCTGTGGGGTAGAACAGACTAATTATTTATTAAATAATTTTTAAAGAGCTCCCAGTATTCTGCATATGTCAGAATTTTCAGCTACTTGACTATTAATTTGTGACACTCGTGCTAACATAGTACTTTTCATCTTGTATGCACCTCAGAACGTTTATTCACAGAACTGAAATCTCACAGTCTTGCCTCTGATATCTCTGAGGCAAGTAGGATTTCTGATTAACTCATCAAGCTTTCACCACATCGTTTTACAGCCAGATCATCTCGGGCGTGGGAAGGCTAGAAGGCTTAAGATTGCTTAGTGCCATAAGGAGAGCTAGAGCCTGTCCTATAGGTAATTCCAGAAGTGGCATCACTGTCCTTATCACCAGTGTGATACTGTTTTATTATGAAAACTTGTTATACTAGCACAATGCAGTTGTGGATGTAGTTACAGTATGACTACACCACTGTAATTTGCGGAAGTTACCTTTGCATAAAAGTAGAGATCACTAACTTTGACTGTCTACAAATGCAGCCTGTGCTGAAATGGCTCTCAGCCCTTCTGGTGTCGGGATGAGAACCCTCGGTGCTAAACCCTCAGTGAAGCCCTTAAATGTGGACATCAAGAGCCCCCACAGGAGATCCCAGACCTCCTTAACACAGACATAGTGGTGCTGTCAGGATCCTCCATTTGTCTGGATTTACAGACTGAGAGGCTTGCATATATGCTCATGCACAAAATCCTGCTTATCAAGATCACAAGAATATTCATTAAGACCATGGTATCTACTGGCTTTCTATGAGCATGGAGTCATGTAGGTGGCTGTCGCACAGCATGGTCTGTGTTCTTCTGACTAAAACCCTTAATGAGAACAATTACTGGTTTGGGGCATGCAGAGACTGGAAATTACAAGGAAGGGTGAACAAGGGTTGTGTTGCTGTCGCAAATACACCCGGAGGAACGTTAAAGTAGGCTTATTCTAATAATTACTGTTAGTGTGTGTGTGATATTTATGCTGAAACTGAGCAATCCGTGGTGTCTTAAAATCATCATATACACTAGCTTTCAAGGTGGCACTGTGGGAGGAAGATGTGTATGGTGTTTTTTTTGTGAATTTCTTTTGTAAGCAGAGTTGCATAGCCTAGACTGAATCCTTAAGGTCAGTGGACTTTTTTGTTCATGTACTTATTTTTAGAGCTGTGTTCTTTGGCTTTGCTATGCAAATAAGCTTTTGTTGGATAATCTGATTCACGGGCAACTTATCTTTGAACGTTCTCTAGTCTCTTAAACAAAAGATCTGTGACTTTATCTAACAATTTTTGTACGGGCAAAGGGTCGTGCAACTGAGTTCTGCTTGAAGGATTAATGAAATGTAAATATCTGTGTTTAACAGCCAAGACTATTTGGAGATAATTCCATGGCAGGGCACACTGAGTTTAAAACAGCATTAATCAAAAGGAAGCATGGCTATCTGTGAAAGATTGGATTAATAAGAGCACAGCAGGAAAAAGAAAACAGTGTTTTAATGTATATGTTTAAATGTATAGAGAGTAAACTCTATGGTCTGAAGACAGAACTACATCAGAATCAGATTCAGATCAAATAAAGGACACCAAAGAAGATAATTATGCCTCAAGGGGGAGTAAAATATCAAGGTTATCAACTTCTGCTGAAAAAAGGAAGGAAGAATCTGCGCCTGAATACGGTCAATCAGTTCATCCTTAAACCTGAAACTCTTTATGTTTAAATAGGGTATTAAAGACAAAGGAAACATACTGCCATCTTAGAAGTTCACCCTCATGTCTTTCTCCAGGGTTCAGCAATATATTTTGTGTATGACGATGCAGTAGAGTTTTCAGCTGCTCTAAGCTGTCTTTCACCAATTTGGTGGTCCCCACAGTTTTGCTAAGATCTTTCCTGGTTCTGATTGCTCTCAAATCTTTTCGAACAGTCCAGGCATTATAAAATATTTAACACCTGTCGTCTGCCTATTATAGTTCTAAGGAATGCAGCTTTTCAGGGTTACATACGCTTTAATCTCAAGTCATTGGTTGGGTGATACAGCAGAGCGCTTGAGCTCAGTTTTATGAGCTGGTATGGATACATGCATATGCTTCAGTCACATTGAATCAATGCCTGAAGTAAAATGCTTTGCTGGCCTTAGACCTATATCTTATGATGGACTTAAGCACACAGACAAGCATTTTGCTGAAGCAAAACCTTAGTGTTGTGCTTTCTTCTGTAATATTACACATGGGTCTAGTTATAACTGGGATTTTTTTCAGTACTGAATTATTTAGAAAAAATACCTGATTCTGGCCACTTAAAAGTGAAAAAGTTCTTCTTTGTTAAGACTTGTTTTCCCAAAGCTTTTGGGAATAGGCTCAGGCCAACCTTTTACATATATCTTGCTGTTGTGAAAATGTCCATACAATGTGCTGGTCGAGAGAAAATCACAGATTTACAGATTTTAGGGCAAAGGAAGAGCACGATATTCACGTAAACTGACTGCTGCGCTATCCAGTCCATAGATTCTTGCATTTAACTCAACAACTTGTGGTTAAATGAGAGTGTATTTTAAAAATGACAGCGAGGCTTGATTTAAAGACTCCAAATGCTGCAGAATTTATCACAGTCTCTGGGAATTTGTTCCAATGGTCAATTACCCTTTCTTTGAAAAATCTGTACCTTACTTTATTTGAGCGCTGTTAACTTCGATCTTCTGAACGTTGTATCTTATTTCTTGACTTTCTACTGCAGAACTAGAGAATCCTTTATTTTCCCGTAGGTTTTTCTTGTGTGGATGATTCTAGATAATTGTTTTCTGTTTTCATGGTATCAAAAAGGTTTCTTTATATTCACAAACCCAAACAGGCAGACACCTTGTACATGCCAGTATCCCAGTGCTAGAAGTCTGTCATGATAAAAATATGCTGTTTTAAGAAAAAAAGTCAATATGACTGCGCTGCTTTGTATTTCAATTACTAATCACTGTGTTATGATGAAATAGAATTGAAAGCTGGGATATTGATACTGAGAAATAAATTATATTCGGCATATGCTGTACTTACACTGCAGAAATCATAGTTGCTCTTCTGTCCCGAAAAATGTTTTTTCAGAATTTCTTAGAATGTGTCAAACTTACTTTACAAATGGCTCGAGTTCTCTGTGATTTCTTTTTCCTTGAACAATTCCCATGAAATCATATGGCTGGATGATGTCAAAAAGGTATCTGGTCCATTCCATTGCCCCAAGACAAGATCAGTAATCACTGTGGGACTGTATGACGTTTGTTTTTATTCTTTTCTACTGAGAAGCTGAAATGCAATCAACATATTCTTTCTGTAGATAATGAAAATTATAAAGAGTAGGATTTTCCAAAGGCCTGAGTGGTAACCTGTGTCCTTCCACACTAGGTTCCCTTAGAAACCAAGTAAGATCAATTAAGGTCACTCTTGGTAAATCTGACCTCGATGCATTTGCCTCAATGCTTTATGAGTAATTATTGTTCCTGTTTTCTCCTTAGAGCTCTTCCTGCAATGATGCAGTGGGTCCGAACTCAGAAACCAGGAGAAAGTGGCGTAAATATTATCACTGCAGATTTTGTAGAACTCGGTGACTTTATCAGCACAGTCATAAAGCTCAACTATGCCCTGGATGAAGGTGAAGATGACACTACTTGATAGTATTATAATATGTTTGTTGTTGCATTATTTAGAATTAAAAAACAATGATTGCATTTTAAAGAATTATCTTGTTAAACACTGATCTTCCTATAACACTGAGGTGTTTAGGGCTTTAGTGGGTGGGCAAAGGGGAAATGTTTTAATCAATTATGATTATTTTTTACATTTGTGTTTCAGGTAAAGAGCAAAACTAAACATGTTTACAGTGTTTGATAAAAGAAGGCCACTTACATGTTTTCCGTGAGGTACCAAATGTGATTCGTATGTCTTCTACAGTTATGAACAGTGCCAAGAAATTTGCTGCATTCAGAGCAGTGAGATGTACACTGCCCTCTCTCTGCCCACAGCAGGATTCCCATAGGTGCGTGCATTACGGTGGGAGACTAAGGCCCCACTGCGGCCCTAAAATTTTGAGTTACTACACTTCATCTGTCAGTTGGTGTCACCGATTGTATTTATCAATGAGCCACAGGTTTAAATACCTTTGTGAAAAATAAATATAAAGTCATGCCTCCAACATTCACATAATCAGTGGACAGTAAACGTGATGTATTATGTAGCTTGCGCAGAGCACAGCCTGAATCCTGCTTGCTTTTCATTTTTGCAATGGGGTTTTCCAATGTCTCTGCTCCGTGTAAAGTCAGCAGTTATGTAGTGCTAACCTAACTCTGTACTAAATGCTGCCGTTGTGTATTTTCCATGGTTTTAGCAGGAACAAAGTCAGGCTGGCTTGGAGCACCACTCCCTCTCAGGATTAATCTTATGTAAGAGTCTGATCCAAAGTCCAGTTAATTTAATATGAAAACTTCCTTTGTTTAGCAAGACTTGGGCTTGGGATCACAAAATTGTGTGCACTGTAAGGTGGGCAGGATTTGGTCTTATAGCGGAAAGGTGCGTTCTGCAGGATTAAAACTACGCTTCAAAAAAAAAAAAAAAGGTGCAGTCTAAGGTTCTCCTTAAGGCAGCTATGAACGCAGAACTTCTCTGCTAATTACAAAGAAAAAAATCAGTGCCAATTTCATCAGTCAACAATTGCTGTACTAAAGAGTGGAGTAGTTCAATATCTAGCTAGCAACAGTAAACTATACTCCTTACATTGTTCATGAGAAATAACAGACCATAACAAAAGGTCGGAAATGTACTGCATGGCACTGGTCTGGTGGCAGAATCTCTGATGACCCTACTTTTGATGGAACACAAAACTCAAATATATGGAAAATGTGGTGAGTTGTAAAATGAGAGCGTTGCCACTGTATGACCCCTAACAGGATACAGTGCAGTCGTATGTCTTTGATATATCAGTGTGTGTGCACACAACTTTTGAAAGCCAAACACTCCACTTATGGAAAATGATAGATACTGTAAGGTCTTACAAGGAAAATGCTCCCTGAAGTATTGCAAGGCTTTATAGGATAAGACTAAGGTTAAGTTTCCATTGATACTACTAGAACGCTTACTTGAGTGAGAAGAGAATGGTATCTTATGATCCCTTGCTGTTTTCGGTCAGCTGATAAGGCCTACCATCTCAAAGATCATCCGGTCATATGCAAGCAAAAATGGTCTTATCAAAGAGGTGGGTTTTTCTTTTTTTGTGTTTTGGGGGGCTTTTTTATGAAGAAGTGGAATAAAATGAACGCTTGCTGCTATTTTGTACAGGGAGGGTGCCTTGGAAAAAGTGTGTGTGTATGTAAACTCTAAAGACATTTACATGTATGTACGTGATACGAAGACAACCATTCAACACTTGCTTAATGGTATTGTGGTTTCTAGACAAGGGTATTATAAACTTAGTTAAAGAAAACAGTGCAGGTGTTACAGCATTATGATGCCTCCTTCAGTAGCAGTTTTTTGTGTAGGGATTAGGAGTGTAAGATTCATCCTCAGTGAAATCTGTGATCCAAGCCAGTTAGGTTTTTTACAGCATTAAAAACTTGACCCAAAGTGGCCCCAAAATTCATCAGGAGTCACACCCCATCTTTGCACTGAAAAAGGAGTAGGACTTGGGCTTCCCCCTTGAGGGGGAAGGGGATGGGGATGATGCACTTGGTTTTCAGTTGCCACATACTCTCCAAGCAAAATTCATGTAACGGGCACACAAAATGAAACATAAATGAAACATGAGCATATGTTTTCTTTGTGCAGACTGGAAACTTGTGTATTTTGCACAGTTCCTGAAGCGGTACCTTTTCATCTATTTAGGGTATCCTATATAGAAACTTGAAAATGTTTGCTTATTTGTTGAAGATGTGGCATGAAAAGATCTTTTCATTCTTCTTAGCTAGATTTGTTTGCTTCTAGATTCTCCTGTCGTTCTTCAGTTACTTAAATATAGTCAAAACATTTAAGCTCCCTATAAGATGGCAAAATAATCTGAATATTACTGAACATGGGTGGACAAAAAATGATTTCTTTTTCGGGGTTTTGACTGAAATTCTGTTGAGTCTGAGAGCAACAACACTGAGTTCCTCCTGGAACCGCTGGCTCAAGCACACACTAAACAGACCAAGCTTTTCACTTACACACTTAGGTGAAGGTGTGCTCAAAGCAAATGTTTTACTGTATTTAAGAAAAAGTGTGTGCCTGTGTGTGTGTGTGTGTGTGTTTGTGTGTGTGTATATATATATATATGTAATGCTATATCATATCTTGAGCTTATTGGCATTTTTAGGGAATGTTTGTTTAGCATCAGTTATATTCTAATTGTCATTTAGGTGCTGGAAAATAAAAGCAAAAAAAAAATCCTCTATGAAGAAGGATAATAGACAAATCATGTAGTTTCTCCATTAATGGGGGAAAAAAATCTTAGCAAAATGTTAAACAAAAATAGTTAGAAAAATTGTGTTTTTATTTAGCTGCCGATCTCCTTTCTGTTGGAGAAGCACAGCAATTTATTGTAGGGGACAGGTAAACAAACTTGCCTTAATTACTCAAACAAAAAGGGAGGGAAGTATTATCTACACTTTTCTGGCAATTTTATCTCTGAGGCACCAAAACTAAAATTGAACTGTCCTAATAGGGGTACACTCTCAGTTGATGTAATCTGGGAAATCTTGCCAGAAGAGAACAATCTGGAGAGGACTATGCAGCACAACTGGGCCATTCTAGAGCCCAGTTTGGTCATCCCTATGCAGCTAAAACTCTCGTTGATTTCAACCAGAAGTGTGCTTGCAGGATTGCTCTGCAGGACTGGTTCAGATTAGCTATCTGACCTCATTTGTCTGGGGAGGTTTCTACACATGTATTATGAGGAATCCTGTATGAGAAATTAGATGACTGTAATCAGTTCAACAGCATAAAAATACCCATCCACATTACTGGTCTTCATAACCATCTGTTTAGTCATACTGTAACATTATTCTCTGTCTTAATATTTTTTCTCCACCTGTGTTCATTTCCCCCCCTCGTTATGTTCATTGTACACACTTGAAGTATTACTGTCTTTTCGAGTTTCTAGACATTTTTATGTGATTACTTGATGCTTTCTGTCAGTCATACCTGAAAAATTGCAACTGCGTTGCGCAACACAAACTGAATGGCAGTAGAGCAGATTCTCAGCTGGTGTAAATCTCTGTGGCTCCATATTTCAATTTATTAAAGCTGAGAATCTCTTCCGTAATGTTTGATACTGATCCAGCTTACACTGATTTGAACTAAAATTTAGCAGCTGGCCCCAGGAGTCTGTTTTCCACCTTATATGAGAAGGTAAAGATCAGGATCAGGCCAAAGGAGCCTAACTTTAAAATCAGTGAGTTGTTTGCATTTATTTGCTCTTGGTTACATTAACAGTTCTGTCGGTTCTGCCATTTCAAGTCATTCTTTTGAAGTATACATGTGTATATATACGCCTATGTGTGTGAGAGGGAATGTGCGATCCTGTGTGCTGGGCTAAGTCTGTCTGTCATATTGATAGAAATCTAGACCCTTTCCACTAATTTGGTAGTTACTAAAGTTTTGCGCTGGGATGAGAGGGAGTCACTGTATAGTAAGTATATGCTGTGTTGCAAAGCAAATTAAAAAATTTGGAAGTTAATTGAGAAACCTGAAAAAAGTAGAGTGCCCCTGAAGACATCGCTCCAGTGCTATTTATTCTACATATGGTATAGGGAGCACTAGGCATTAGCGACTGAATAGGTTATTTGGTGATTTCAGGAGTTCAGTTAACACCATTGTTAAACTTCTAAATTCCTTTTCAGTGAAGCAAAAGCTAATAGTATATCTCATGTATTTGCCATATCTCAGTGGTAGCTTCTGTGTCCCATACAGTCGAAGTTGTTCTGAATTGTATATGTTTACCCAATGATGAGGTTAAAATATGCTGTATAGTTTGTGCAATGTATTGATTACAAGTTTGTTGGAGTTCAGTGATCTATTTAGTTTTTACTGTGCTGCTGTTTTGTAGGTATGTGTGTGTATGTGTGTATGTATGGGAGTATGGATTGTCTACAATGTACGAGGAAATAATAATTAATCCTAAAGGAAAAGGGCAGTTATGTAACCTGCCTTAATGCATTCACATAATCTTGTTTAAATCCCATAATTATGAATTCAGATTTCAAACGTTGCTGAAGATTGTTCGTACAGCTGCCTTTGGCATTAAGAAGTTAAACTTGATCTTAATTGGAGCTCACTTATATATGGATAAATAAAGAATAGTATGTTTGTATGATCAACTACCTTGACTGTATGTGGTGATAAAGACCCGGTTTCCTGTGTGATCAGGCGAGATCAGTTCTGTGTACACACAGCCCCTGTTGATGCCAGTGGGAGTTGCGTTCATGTAATGAAGGGCCTAAAATTCCTCTATTGAGATATAATTGCGGTACTCTGGCTTTGTAGAAGTGCCTGGATGCTATGCAATATTGCTCATGTCCCGTGCTGGAATGTAGCTGTGAATTCACAGGAAGAGCTCTGAACTCTGTTCCAATCCAGATTCTTTTCTTATGTAAAAATCAGATGGCTGAGGTTAGTGTCCCGGCCTGGCCTGCCCATGTACAGCATTCTGCTTTAAGGAGCCATGGCAGCTTTAATTAAAAAAAATTATAATAATTTCCCAGAGGCTGGCAAGAGCTAGTGCTCTGCATTGCCCAGGGATATGACCCCTCTACCTTTCTCACAGCCAGGCCTAGCTCTCCCGTCTTGGTTTCCGTCTGAGATGCCTCTGCTGGATGACAAGAGGGTAATTACGAAAGAAGTACAGAACGTGGGAAGAGTCTACCTCATGCCTGGCCAGTTGGACAAGGTCAGATAGAGCATGCCTGTCCAAAGGTGTATTTGATGTGAGGTTGGCTTCCGTCAGTCCCATGTGAGCAGTGGTTCAGGAAAAGCCAAAGTCTGATTTCAGACCCTCTTCTGTTATCTTTGTCTAGTTAAAATACAACATCTGCCCACTGGCTCTACTCATTGCTCCTTATCTAAGTCTGTGCTTCTGCGTACTCATCCCTTTATTATGAGGTGTGAGCAACACTGTGCTCAAAATATTGTTAGTTTGTCGTCTTCAGCACACCATCAAAATCTGTAACTTCTGTATAAGACTACGTTGAATACAGAGCTAAGAGATGGGGGCAGACTCCCACATCTGACATCCTATAATGGTTTACCTCCATTCCTCAAGTTATGTATGCGTGACTGCTTAGGCCTCACCTTGGCTGATGAGAATTTAGTTGCAAACATTCCCACTCCAAATTAAAACCAGATTAGATGATAAGCCAATAAATATTGTCCAAGTGGGAGATGTACTTAGGCTTATTTTCTTTAGTGAGATGACATGTTCTAGTCTCTTCCCTCCGTGTGGGGCCCCCCAAAGTCAATTTGATCTACAAAGATTTCAAGAGTAGCTGAAATGCTTGAAGCTGGCAAATCAGTTTGGCTATGAAGCTGGAATCCTTAAAGTAGAATCCTGGGTTTTATGTGTAATTATTATTATTGAAAGTAAGAATGCCTGTTTAAAAATATAACTTAAAAGAAGAAATAGCTGGGCTTGTCAGGGCAGATGTTAAGTTTTTGACTGCCTCAGTCATGAGTAGTTTTAGAATCACGCAAGGTGATGATTATGATGTTATTGCCGCACTGCCTCCTGACACTGTTCAGGTTCTCTGTATAGAAGCCTTATTATTCCAAAAGAGCATTAATGCATTTGAATGACTTTACTCCATTTCTGTGGGAAGGATGATTATGTAACACTGAGGACATAGAGCTCCCTGTGTGTTTTGCCCACAAAGGTTCACAGAGCTGCACCTTCTCTTTTTAGGATCTATTCAATGGTACTTTAATAAATGTTGTGTAAAAAATGCCTACAGTTCTGTATAACAAATGTGAATTTTTATGACAAGAATGTGTATTTAATGTATAAAAAAAGAAAGTAATATAAAATGCAGTTTCTTTGTATCCAGTGAAACATCTAATAAAGCTCTGGTACCTATATTCCTGTTTTATGGCTTCATTGTTGCATTCAAGACATTACACGGGGGAAGAGTCTTAAAAATAGTTTTGCAAAATGGGCTACGGTCAGACATTAAACTCAGGCTGTGCTGTCGTGTTAGAGGTTTACGTGGACTGTCGCCATGAGGACATTGTGGAGGGAGTACTGTTTCCGCATCGTTGCTGTGGGATCCTTGAATACTGCAGAGCGCTGATATTGTGTTCATGCCGCCCCAGGCGCAGCAGGCTCTCAGGTACCTCCTCCACCTGGCAGGGCTCTGCAGCCCCGGTTTGCCTGAAGTACTAAACCTCTGACCACGTGAGCCTGCAAAAGCCCCTGCTGCTCACTCTGGCCTTTAGCAGCACCTTGTAGCAAGAAGGGAGATGGTAAGCAGGGACTAGACCTCAGAAGTGTTAATCTTTCCTACTGCTCCGCTGGGCCCTGTCTGCATTGGTGGCAGCTCACGTTGGCACGGTGAAGAGTACCTGCCACCACCACAAACTCAAATCACCAGGTGGAGCAGAGCAGCTGCTGCCTCAAGCCTGGCTCCAAGCTGTGCTGGCCAGTGGGTGACTTTGCTCCGTCATCTCCCTGGTGACTCTGGTAGGGCTTGGGGACCTGCTCTCCAGAGGTGGACGAAGGTCAGCCCAGCTCACCTGCGCCTAGAGCCACAGGGTGAGGGACTGGGCTCTGAGACTTTCAGCTAAGGTGAAGCATGGGAAGCTAGAAGCTAAAGCCTTGCTGCAGGGCAAGAGCTTGGGATTTCAGGTGTATACTGCCAAGTGATAAAGATTTTATTTCTGGCACGGCCAAAAATGTGACATATTTTTCAGGACAGACCTCTTCTGTTACCTCTCTTGAGTCCCAGGCAAAGGCAGCTGAAGTGCTCTGCTCCTGAGCAGTCCACGCCCTGTCGCTTGGCCTGGTTTGAAATCAAGGAGCCAGGCCCAGGCAGCTGGGGCTGGAGAAGAAGATGCCACGAAAGATGAGCAAGGCCAGGAAGCCTCTCTATCAGTGCCTCCGCAGAAACCCATGGATTGTCTTTGCCCACGTGGCAGCTGCATGCTGCTTAAACTGTCTCCCTCCGCTTCCTACTCCACGGGTACCGTCTTATTAATGGGAGAGCATGGTTAGCCCAATACATGGAACGAAGACTTCTCGTTACAGAAGTGATTCGCCTTGGTTTTTTGTTTTCTTTTATTTTGCTTCGTTTCTTCAGTAAATAGTCAGAAGGCCAGCTTTGTCCTGCTGTTGTCATAGCTACTTTACTCCAAGCGTGGGATGTTCCTATTCTGGTTAACATACCGATTTGATGACACATGAGAACACAGCCAGCTGAGATAATATAGCCTTTAAAACTGAGAAAGCACTTGTAGTACTACAGGAAATGGAAATTCAGTAAATGGTTCCGATTCCAGAAAATAATTGTGCGTTAGGCCATTGAATCTGGGAGAAAGGAGAATTTTTTTTTACCTTTATATCTTTTAACAAGATAAGAGCATTTAATTAAAATGCAACTATTCTTCTGGAAGATCAATTTTAAATAGATTTTATGGAAGTAAGCGTTTGTGGTTATAGGCACAGTGTGAGAGATAAATATGACTTCCACATTTTCGGCCTAGCTTCTTGCTCCTTAGTGCCCCAGCTGCAGTTTCTGGCATTATTTATTTTTATTTTTCTCCCAGCAACTGGGAAATTTGAAAGGAAAAAATATTTGCAACAGTAAGTGGAATGATTGAAATCAAATGTCTTAAATAACTGGTTTTAATCATCTTTACATCTTCAAGTACAAAACATTGATTTTGATAATGAACTTCAGTTTTGCTTTGCCTTTGAACTGTATACCTTTTTTTCCCCAAAGACAGGTTGATCCTTATGGATAACCATTAAGACCTTGTTTAGTAAATAAGTGCAGTCCTCACAGTGAACTTGGTATGGCTTTGCTAAATAGGAGGCTTAACTATGCATATGCATAACAAAGTTTCTTTTTAACAAACATTCATGCAGATGATTGTTATTTTATCTTTTATTTTGTGAGGAAACGGTAACTATCATTTCTTATTTATGAAAGGTTTAATTTCTTGTTTTTGTTAAGCTGTCTCCTACAGGTGGTCAGAGTAAACTAACACACCAAATCACCAATTTTGCTAATAAAAAGTCTTGTAATTGAAGCTGAGCTAAACATGATGGATCCCAAGGAAAATCTGTAATATCAACACTGGAAGCTATGGAAAGTGAAGGAAATTAAGTGAAGGAAATTTTATCTGGAGTGAATGAGTTTTTATAATTACCAAGTTCTCTAATATTTTTAGGACCAGAAGGCCTCAAAAACTTCCATGTGCTCTTTTGTCGTAGACGGGCAGAAAAGGGAAGCGTTCCTAGGTTTTAGGTTAATTTTTTCACTTTGAATAAACTAATGATAGGAATACACTGAAGAGAAGGAAAATTATTGATTTCTACTGCCAAGATCCCACATGCCAAAAGAGTCAATCACTTCAGGAAACTTTTTTCCCAGGTGCTTATCTGGGGACATCGTCTGTTTCAGTGGTTTATATTTTTCCATGTTTTGATGTCAACCAAGTGATAATTATTTTATAGTACTAAAGAGTAAATGTACACCTTAATTTAGATTAGGATCAATTCAACACTTTCAGAGATTTTTCTTCTAGAAAAACCCTTTTAAAAGTGTCCCCTTGTTTTTTAGAAACTGGCTATGTTAATGAAATTCATATCCAATACTCTGTACAAAGTGAGTTATTTTTTCTTAGCTGGCGTGAAATCTTAATGCCGCACAAAGCTCCCATTTCTCTTTTAAAATGGTGGAATTGATACCCAGTTTTCATATAATCATTAACAACAAGCAAACTTGCTTGGAAATTAAGGCACCTGGATTAAAGTCTGCATCCTGCTGTCAACTCTTGAGAGAGAAGGAGAATTCGACTCTTCTGCTGATGCAGAGGAGAGCAGTGGGAGTAGCAAGAACTGTGGAGGGAGGTAAGCAACTTGAAGGGAGAGAAATGTAGGAATGAATTTCCCGGGATGGCTCTGAACAGGATTTATTGGGGGGCGGGGGGACTGTGATGTGAAAAGAGAAATATTCTGTGGGAGAGTCAGTCAGAAAATGGGAAAACCTAAGAACAAGAGGTGCTTCATTCACCCACGAGGAGGATGCACATGCAAGGGGGGTTGTGTTTGCTTCTTGATAAAATGCAATAGAAAATGTTCCAGGTATTGTGTAGTTGGGAGATACGGATGTAAATATTCTGCCCAGTTAATCACACTGATTCACCCCAATGCACGGATCTTAGCACTTGGTTCACCTTCAAACAAACAGGTTTGAGCCAGAACAAGCTGTGGAACTGTATAAATATTAAGATGGAATAATGAGCTACAGGCAGATAGAAGCTTGCAGCGCTTCAGGGGAGCCATTGCTCCCGTATAGTCAGAGTTTAGGTTAAAGAAAGAGAGCTTTAAAAAAATCCTGCACTTGATTTACACAAGGCATATAGTCTTTGCTTGTAAACACTGGATAATCTATGCAAATATATTCTGTTTTCTTGCTCCAATGCTGCTTACGCAGTCAAGGAAGCATCATACTCATTAGTAAAGCCATTGTTCTGACCAAATCACTTCCCATTCTGTGAGTAGCCAAGCACCCTCACATTTCCTATCTCCTATCCAGCTTAAAATAAAACTTGCACAATTAGCAAGCAACAATTAGAGAGCATGAACTCTGGTACGCTGGTGAGTATTTTAGATATTTTCAGTACAATATGTATGAAATAGCCAGAAAAGACCTTACTTTGGAGTACAAAAGACTATTATTAGTCAGTTTTCTAAGTCCTATGGCTTTGCTTTTCTGGTAACTCAGAACAAAAAATGAAACCAGGCTACTGGCATATGTTCACATCCGGGAGGATGGTGTGTTACGTTGTCTGATGATATGTGAAAGAACAGCATATTCCTTAGCCTCTAATCTCTACTTGCCTGAGTGCAAATCTAGACTTCAGTGGCATTATCCCCGACTAATACGCATGCAAGAGAAAGCAGGAATTTCTGTTATTGCATATTGATGTACCACAAAGCAGCAGACCCATAGGGAAGGAAAAGTATGTTTTTCAGGTGTCATGAAAGCCAATTCCTTTCCCTCCCAGATGCTTGGAGCTGCAGCTCTGCATCTTCCCAGAAATGCATGCTATGCAGCAATTTTTTAACCTTTTAAAAACTTTAGTCTTTTTCCATGAATATGCTTTTGTATATTTTTGTAGTTTTGAACAGGAGAGGAGGCAGGCAGTGCAGCAGGAACAGAAGGTCTGCTCCTGTTCTGATGCTGTGTATCAAAGCTCAGCTGAGAAGGCTATTGCTGCAAAAGCACTGGGAGTCTGTGATGCTGCAGATCACAGACATTAGGTGAATGTAGAATAAAAAAGAGAAATCAGTCTAATCACAGAGGTAAAAGCTGATCAGACCAGTCAGGCGGGACTGGGAGTGCTTCTGAACATAGACAAGAAGGCAACTCTAGACAACTGAGTCTAGACAACAATCAAAAATATTTGTAGAGCTAGGTGAATAAGATCTCAGGATTGCTGTTGTGGATTTTGGGTAACACCTTTCTTGAGTCAAGAAGATTCCTGTTTTCTTGTAGAAGACATGGACTGAAATGAGTTTCTTTGCCCCTTAAACTCAAGTTCCAGCCACCTCCTGCTGCCCACTCAGCCCTCCTTCAGTTATTAAACGTAGATAAACAAATTTATTAAAGAAACGACAACAAATTCGAAAGAAGGAAGCCTGTTCTCATACTAAACAGAATTTGTGAACATCTATTTTCTCATTACAGTCTAGTAATAATCTCAACTTTTACTTTGTATTACTTTTCTACTTATTAAATTAACATTTTCAGGAAGAAGTACAAGATCTTTTAGAAAGTTAAGTCTAAATGCAGGTGAAAGACCTCCATCTGCTTTGTAAATAAGTACAGTGTA